TATCAAGAAATATGCAAAAAAATTTACTGCATTCCTGTAGAGTGCATCAAATTATACAAATTTCTTAAAACAAAACTTATTTTTTAAAAGGCGCTAAATAGGAGTAAAAATAGATTCAAAAAAGATTAAAAGCTTCGTAAAGTACAAACTTTATCCTTGAGAATGAAAAAAACTTTTAAATGATTTTTCGCGGAGTTACGCTTATTTGAATTTTGTGAAGTTTTGAAATAAATTTACCTATGCGATAATTTTGTTGACGAATGTATACATATATACTAATTAATTAATCGATATACTTCTAAGTATTTCAAAGGAAAGAAATACACAGAACACGAATGAAATTCCAATTCCACCAATCGTATACTATAATCGTGTATACTGTAATCCCAATCAGAAATAGTTCCTCGAAAAGACGTCACTTCGACGTCATTTACAATGGAAACGTTGTCGATTCGAAACATGTATCGAAATTTCAACATTTTCGAGTAATAAAAAATTACGTATGTAGAAAGTGCAATGAGAGTTTGATACTTTTTAATATTTTTGATATAAATTTGTGATACGTAATCTTATATTTTGAATATTTTCATTCAAAGGTCGAATCATTTTTTTCGATTTCATTTCGACAATTGCAATATTGCTCTAATCGTAAAAGCTTTCTCAAAATTTTTCAGAATTTATAAATAATTTTATAACTTTTTAGAAAATTATTTTATACGAATTGGAACATTTTTTACAACTGTCGATAAAGTCTACATCTTTTTTTCTAGTAATTCTTTGTATCTTATTTTATTGTTCTACTCTCCTACTGAATAACATAATATAATCTTATTACCTCACTTTTGTATTGAGAAATTTCAGGAAATAATATCTCTTACCATAAATGCTGACAACCTATTAGCTGTCTCTTACTATAAATCAAGCACGAAATCAAGGAAAAATATCGATTCTATCAAAATCTAGACTAGCTCGAATCGATATCGAAATAATCTCTTTTTAAATAAATGAATTTAAATGTTGGTCTATCATACAAGTTTCCAATTTAGAAATATAAAAATACTACTAGTGTCACTGCAGTAGTATTACTATTGATACGCAATAATGTCAATGCTGAGCCAGTAGTATTACTACTGTAGTAGTATATATGATGACCGACAATAGAGTTCCAGAAATATTTCGAGAACTGAATCAAGCGCTGGCATAAGTGCGTTGCAGATGGAGAGTAGTCCCCTTTGAAGGGGACAATATCACTTTTGATGAATAAAACTTGTATTTTGAATTTTCTGAATGAATTCCGGGAACTTTTTGATCACGGTGATATGATGTAACATGAAATTACTTCCAGTAATTATATATTAAATTTATACTAAATATATATATACTATATATA